CTGACTGCATCCCCACACTGCCGGCCCATGTTCATCTTGGCATCAATGATGACTCCAAGATCCTCTTCTGCCTCTGCACTGATGAGAATGGAGTTTCCCAGCCTGTAGGTATGGTGCTGGTTCTTTCTCCCCAGGTGCATCACCTTGCACTTGTCAGTGTTGAATCCCATCCTATTCTCATCCACCCACCCCTGTAACCTGTCTAGGTCTGATTGCAGCCTGTTCCTCCCTTCTTATGTGCCCACATCCCCCCACATCTTAGTGTCATCAGCAAATTTGAACAGGGTGCTTTTTACCCCCTCGTCCAAGTCACTGATGAAGATGTTGAACAGTGCGGGCCCAAGGACCGAGCCCTGTGGAACCCCCCTGCCCACATCCCTCCAGGTCGAAAATGACCCATCGGCTACCACTCTCTGGGTGCGGCCCTCCAGCCAGTTGGCGACCTATTTGACTGTGTAGGTGTCGACACCACAGTCCCCCAGTTTCTTAATGAGAATGGGGAAGATAGTGATGTTTGAGGATTCTTTCACCCACAAGTGTAACAACAGGGCTTTTTTCCTGATTTAGTTCAAGACCCAATCCTGATGTTCAGAAAATGAGTCAGAACTGAAGGGTGGAATCTGCTTTCAATGTTATATTTATATCAAAGTAATATTTAAAATTGTACAATTTCAATTAACCAAAAAAGCTTTTACATTTTTCTGCCAGACACAGAACTTCACTATATCCAAATGGATTTGATTAGATTCGTTTAACTGAGGAATATTATTAGGAACTACAAGACCCTGTGTGTTTTGTAAAGTACTAAATACTGTTGCTTTTCTGAATTCCAGAGTAGCGATTGCAATTCATTTTGAGATTATGCTTCCTTTTATGTTGGCATAGAACCTAGAAGACTGTGGACATGGCAGGAATAAAAAATAAATTTTAATGGGAGATTGGCCCAAGAAAGCTTTGATTATTGAAGTAAATGTTATTGAAGTGTGTTTATTACAAAGAAACTAGAAAATTAACCTTAGAACAGTACATGTAACCTAGCACACGAGTATGTGGTAGATATCTGCCTAATCTTTTGCCAAAAATACTAGGTTGTTTTTTGTTAGTTTGTTTTACTGTCACCAAGCTTACAACTACACCTTGGGCAAATTTATTATTTCCAATGAAACCCTGTTTGCAGAAAGAAAGAAAGAAAAACAGCAGCAATCAGTATCATGTGCTCAGTACATTTTTAATATGTTTTTTTCCACGATCTAATATACAAATGCAGTGGTAGTAATACACTCTTCTTATGTAAGCTTGGATGGAATATGTTGAAATCTACTTTTTGTATTTTATATAAATAATCCTCTAATGCAACCTAGAGGGGGAAAAAAAGGTTTAGTGTGATGTGCACAAACAGCAGGGCATGTACAAAGAACAACAAATGAAACTGCATTCTAAACATCAAAACATTTCTGACAGTTTATGAATATATGGAAAAAAACAACTTTGGAGAAAACTGTACCATTTTTAAAAATTGGAATTAAATCTATTTATCTGCATCTACAGTCAAGGATCTATAATCAGAACCTTACATCTCTAGTAAGCTCCTATAAAGATGTCACAATTTTCAGAGGTATGAAGCATGCACAACTCCAATTAAATAGAAATCACCCACAATACTGTTATTATTTAATTGTTCTAGTCATAAATTAATTGTCACAAAAATGAATCTATCACTTAAACTGTATTACCATACTTACTGTACAGAGAAAGGCAGGAAGTGCTTTACCAGGAACATTTTTACTGAAGGATCGGGCCTGAAAGGAGAGAGGAAAAATACTGAGCAGAATATAGTTCATTATTTCAAACTAAACCTCAAATACCAAATTTTATGGCCAAAGCTGGCATGATTTATCATAAGCCTCAGTATTTCATATCTGAATGTACAGCAAGGACAAGTATAACTTTTCAGAACACAGAAGGAGGCACTCCTCTTTTTAGAATATATAAAAACAATTGCAAACAAAAACGAACTGTTGTGAAAGCTTTTTATAATTCTTATGGCTTTCAGCAGACCATGGGATCCTTCTTGGCCCCTTCCAATTCCTGTGGAGGGGTCTGAGACAGCAGATCAAATTGAAGGTTTGGCACCTAAGCTTCAGCTATAGCTGGGAGGGGGAGGGGGGCGGAACCCCCAAGATGCACAGATAGGTATATTTAGTTGCATCTAATACATGACAATGTAGTGCCTTGCAGATACCCAAATTAACTTTCACTAATTATAATACCAGGTACAGCATCACTCGCATGGCACTGTGTAGGTGCTTATATAGCGCTTCTCAACAGACAGGTGTGTTATTTTGGGTGAAACAGCATACTAATGCTGCTAAACTGCTTCCAATACTCAAGCTACTTGTTCAGAGCTAGCTAGGTATCTCTAGACAGCATTGCTTTTTGCTATGTAGACATATCCTAAAAGATATATTGGAAAAGAAAAAAAATATTGTGAACTTTAATATGACTCCATTTAAAATACAGCATCAACAATTTCCTGAAAGTGCCTGCCTCTTTAAATATAAGATTCACCCAAAAAACCTTGTCTGCCTATGTCCTTAGACTAACACGGCTACAACCTACACCCCTGCCTCTTTCAAAACACTACAAACATCAATCCTTGAATTTCCTAGGGAGGGAAGCAGTGGTTTGTTTGCTTGGGAAGAGAGGATTGTTGCTTTTTGTCTTCTTTTTCCTTTTCCTCACAGCCCTCTAGAAGACTGGATATCTAGAATAGGAAAAAGATATAAAAACAGGCTGAAGCTTGAATGGCAGCTTTCACAGCCCTTACCTGATATAATAGCTAAATCACAGTTCCTTCCAAAAAGCATAATATTTTATTTTAATGTGTCAGATGACATAAAGCAGATAATAAAGAAGAATTTATTCTGCTTTTTAGCTCAACTTTAATTAAACCTCCTACACTCTGATTGGATGTAGTTATGTCTACAATCATGCATAAACCAGGAAAAAAAGAAAAAAAAATTCCAAATTCAAGATAAGCTTGCGCTACTGACAGTTAGTTACACTACACCAAATAGAAGTTGCTCTGAGACATAAGAAAAACCAAATGCTATCTTTCAAATGCCAAAGCAAATGCTACTTCTAAAAGATGGAAAATACCAAGGTTTTGAGTAGAATTTATATTTTTAGAAAGGACTGTCCAGGCAATAGCTGCTGCAGAAATGACACTCATCTTCACCATAGCTTTGATAGTTCTCACTGGGTGTTTTACTCACAATACTCTTACATAAATTTGTCATCACTAGCTTATTTTGCCCTCTACTGGTCACTGGCCCAAGTTCCTGGAGGAACTGAGTAATCAGTTACTCTACCTGCTACGTTCTATTTTGGAACTATCTGACCTCCAAACCTCATACAGCACAGCACGACAAACGTACCGTAGAGCAAGTTAACTATTCTGTCTGTAGGATTATCTTTGTACATCCTCCCAAGTTCACCCTTTTGTAATATAGTTTCCCCAGGTGCCAAATCATGATAATACCCACTTATCACCTTCCTCAAAGGAAGCATCATATAGATTAATTGCCACTGATACAACTTTTAACCTTGTAAAAGCACTGTACAAGTTAAACCCTCACTTTATTGTCACTGCTATTAAAAGCAGAAGAGTTGTGGTGATGCTGTAGCCATAATGGTCCAGAAAAAATGAGACAGACAAAGACTTTTGTGGCCATTATCTTTTATTGGACCAGCTGTATAGTTATGTCAAATTGTAATGAATTATGACAATAGAAT